GACAGACGTTTCCAGCTGCTAAATATCTGGCCCATATTCTTAGCATTCATCATTTTCATAAAATTATCATTTAGTTTCCATTCGTTGTATCTTGAAAGAATATATAAATATCTATTACAAAAATTATGACGTGAGCATAATAAAAAGACATGTATGTCAATTTATGTCAATTTATGTCAATTTATTTGTATATATTGTTATAAAATCAGATTTAAAAAAGCACGAATGACTCGTTTAAAATTCCATTGAAATTTTTATGCTGCATCGTAAAACAGTGTGAAATCTTGGCTATAAGGCAATTGGACATTTAGATTCGAGCAAACGAGAAAATATTAGGAAGTATTGGGACTGATTAAAAGTTTAAAGAATTACAATTATGTAGTTTCTCATTAGAAGAGTTTTGAAAAACATAATTTTGATTCATTTGCATATGAGATCGAGAATAACCGAGAATTTCGAATCTCGTTTTACGTCGAGAATCTAGAGGCAGAATTTTGTAGCCATACACTGCAACACACACCAACATGATTAATCTAATATCAAAATCGACAATAAATATCGATTTTATAAGTAATCCATTCAAATTTTGGCAATTTTAGTTTCTTATTCATTTTAAAATGCGAGAAATAATATTAAATTTCAAAGATTGCAAACAGGCACAGAAGTCAACATTTGACAAAAAGCATCACTTGATTTATTCATCAGATCAGACGTAATGCACACGGATTACTTAAGTTTTTCCTATTGTATTGTTTATTTTCATCAACTAGTTTAAATATTTTTGTAAACGGATATTTCTCAAAACTAAATTTTATTGACATTCTCAGAAGTTTGTGAGAGAATGTCATTCAATTAGAAATTGGGCGAACTGTACACTACAATGTGAAACTTTATATTAATAAACTCATTTCCGCAATGTTGAATGGAAGAAGTTATTTTCGCAAACACGGAAACATTTTCGAAGTTTCGAATAGCTTATAAGTTCGAATAGCTCGATTATCGAGCATTAGTAATTATATTAGAGCCCCATGCTATTGACGTTTGCCATTTAGTCAATTTGCGATTAAATTACTATCACATGACAAATGTTTAAGAAGCGAAAAATTAAAAAATATCGTTAAATATCGTTAAAATATCGTTAGCGATTTACGCGATTGATCTGTGGAAAAACAAACATCGCGATCTCGCCGTCGTACGCTTCGCAGGTGCATTAGTGCGCTGAAAACTATGTCCCTACTAAACGCAATATCTAGCCGCCTCTATATTCCTATATCTAACTTATATCACATTTGATAAAATTATTTTATTACTTACGAGCTTTCTCACAGCTGAGATTGTACCAGTTGTAATAATTGTAATCTTAAATCATGAACTTCATGGAACTTTTGTTTCAATTTGCGATCTATGTTCAGAAAAAATAATTTACATAAATTTTCATTTTATAACTATAATCCTTGGCACTAGAATATATACTAAAAGCAGACGTATGTTAGTATCTGATAAATTGAAACCAAGTGCCTTTGTCAATGCCTTTGTCAATGAACGCCGCGAGGCATCATTCTCTTTTCTCTACTGAGAGATACTTTTAATCTTCTAAATAAAATTTTAGTTGTTCTATCGTTCGATCGAATTAATATAATTGAATATTCTTAAATAAAAAAAATGCACAACTTAAACAACAATATTTATGCATTGAAATTAACAATATATGATTTTCACAAACAATTTCACGGAAAAACCGTCTTCGTTGTTCGTATTATTTTCATAGTATTTTCAATATGTAGAATGGCCATTGTACATCGGCTTTGCGCACGATGCGGTGCAAAGCCGCTTGTAATTACCGCCGAGTAAAATCGATATCGATAAAATCGATAAATCACTTCTCACGAGAATATTAGACCCACCAGCCGATAACAGACGCCTCTGTATTAGAGCTCGCCCATTCCGGATAGCGAGTCAATGGCAGTTTCGGGCATCGTTCCAAACCTGAATGACGACCACTCGAGGAACTTATGCAATGACGCGTGCCATGATGCGAAACACCCTGCAAAAACACGCTCATTCAACATTTCCGTCACTACTGTTACTTGTTAATAAAAACATTGCACTTGTTTCCGATTTATAGGATGCTAAGAATCGTTTGTATTTTTTGCTATTGTATGCTAGCTATTGTATCTCTAATGTAATTGATTACTTTAATTCAGTTCTTTTATATTTTTAATACGCTAGAACATGTCATTGCGACATATCGTCCGAATTTCAGTTGCAAATCATAATAGCGAATCATAAAATTATTTGTTTCCATTATTAGATATTTATTATTTATTAACTTAATTAATAAATAAATAACTGTTGAAAGTTGTTTATTTAGTGTTAAAAAAGTATTGTACATTGTGCACATTTGCTAAATTCGAAATGTAAAATTTTCTAAATTTGAAAATCATACCATACTAAATAATTTTGTAGTATGGCATGTAAATCCCGAATGGATTTTGTTATTTCACTAGGCATTTTGATACTCGATCGATTATTGCGTATTTAATTCATATAATATTAATATGTAATGCGTAACAATGTGTTTGTCAAATCCACTGGCGAATAAGGAGTCGCGAAACCACTTTGCAGTGAAATGAAATTTATCTCGATATAACAAAGCCCGTTATTACCGTGTCAAAGTCTAGGTCAAGATCTGTTGTGCAAATAATTTATGTACATAGCGTAACAATTATGTTTACTTCAATAACATTGCGTAAAAAATTGAAAGTTTCTTTTGCACTGTGATACGCATTAATTTTCCTTATTTTTTTTATATATACGTATTATATATTTATCATGTATACATTTTATAAGATTAAAAATCAGAATAATATTTAGCGATATTATGTCGTATATATATATTGAATAGCAGTAAATAAATAGAGAGTATTATTTTAATAATATTTATATGCATGATAAAACGCAATATACATATCATTAAGCGACATTATTTTTCTTTACAGGTCGCTGGGATTTGTAATATTTATTATAGCAGCACATGTGCATCATATCCTGGCAAAACATGTAAGTTCATTTATATATATAAAAAAAATAGTATACTTACAACGTAAAAACGTAAAAACAATGTTAAAAGCATTACGGAGACATCTTGATGTCTTTTGCCCGGAATAAAGTCAGAAACAAGGGTTTCAACGTGTCTTGACGGCATTCTCTTAGGTTTTATTGCTCTCCCTTTGATGATGGTCCGAGTTTCAAGGTCTCCCAGTTTCTCGTGCAGATTATCTTAGTACATTTTGTTCCTAGGAAACCTGAGACAATAGGGAACATGAAGATTCTGTAAACCATTACGATACAACTAATAATTACGGATGACCTTCGGGGCTAACCGTAACCCCTATTTCTTTCTCTAAACTTCTTCATTAACCCGACATCTTATACTAAATTAATCTTTTCTTCTTTTTCTCTCTTTTTATTTTTATTTTACAAACGATATATAGACATTGATTTCGATAGAGCTCCAACATATTTTAATACTGTTACACATATTAATACTGATACTATTAATTTTTATAGTGAATCTTTTTTAAAATTTTCAATATAATAATTTTCGATTAAAAATTGGTTATTTATTATCATCCTATCTTTATCGTTCTTTATAAGATTGCGATTTAATTGTGATTTTCTCAATTTTGCATCCTATGTACTAATATTATAACCATTAAAGATATTTTAAAAGCTTTTCTAATTATTTATTTTTTGTAATTTTTTTTCTCGTAATTTTACAATTGCATTTGAAGCTTTGATGTTGTTATATTCCGGGTATAAAATTTAATCAGAAACATTGAAAAGTTCAACGATGCTGAAAGCGTAATGCGTATGGTGATGTCAAATTAGATCTGAAGTGGAAATGATAACACTGCGACAACTTTTTCCAGCATTAAGAAGAAAGATTTCATTAGAAAACGCTCTTGTGTATTTTTACAGTTAACAAGTGAGAAAATAAAGGCTTAATAAAATAAATGGGGGAAGGACGAATGAAATCGTAAATAATAATCTTATTGCATATATATGATTATTGATCTTCTGTATAATGAACTTAATTTATCTACACAGACTACTATCCGTATTCAATCCATACGTTATTCATGTAATTTCAATTACACACAAGTAACTTATGCGAGAAGTAATTTAGGATCTCGTTACACACAATATGTTCATTGATGGCAAGTTGCGTGCAAATTTTTTATATCAATTATCTCTCTCTTTAAGACAAATGCCAAGGTATTTTCTTACCTAAGAACATTTTATTGATCGAAATATATTGCCAAATACTATGCCTTATTTTGTATTTAACTACGTTTTAAATTTCAAATTAATACAAGTAACTTAAGAAGAGTAAGCTATTGAAATGTTATGGATTTAAAATGACTTTTAATTCTTGACAATGTAATTTTAAGCGCAAAGCAAATGTTATAAAAAGAGAAAGACATAAAAAGGAAAAGAGAAACGAAAGCAATATTTTTTTTTCTAAAAATTCAAATAATTTTTGAATGCAATAATTTAAATCATTATAAAATATGAAAGTAAATTGATTGAAATGT